GGATATGTATATATATATACACACACATATATATATGTATATATGTATATATATATATATATAGAGAGAGAAAACTTCATGTCAGGCCGGTCTGACGGGCTGCCCCGTCCGGCCGAGCCCGTTTGGGCACCTTCCCGGTGGAATTTTTTGATGAAATTTTTTGAGCATGTTCCTCATCAAGTCTAGTTTGTCCATACCAAATTTCAGCTCGAAATTTGATCGGGAAGGTCGTCAAATGATTTTTGCAAGTTAACTGGTCCGGAAAATACATATTCCGGACCAGTTAACTTGCAAAAATCATTTGACGACCTTCCCAATCGCATTTTGAGCTGAAATTTGGTATGGACAAACTAGACTTGATGAGGAACATGCTCAAAAAATTTCATCAAAAAATTCCACCGGGAAGGTGCCCAAACGGGCTCGGACGGACGGGGCAGCCCGTCAGGCCGGCCTGATGAGAAGAGCTCTCTCTCTCTCTCTCTCTCTCTCTCTATATATATATATATATATATATATATATATATATATATATATATATATATATATATATATATATATTATAGGGAATGGTTCAAGTAAAAAGTAGTCTTCCTATGAAAAGTGGGAACAAATCTTAGCCTTTAATCACTTGTAAATGAATGGATTAGATTAACTTTAATCACAAGACACAGAATCAAATAATGTGCAAATGTTTATTGTACAAAGTGGATATTAAGCGACTAAAAGTGCACTCTTGAGTGTTAAAAAAGATTGCCAATTTTTTTTAGCTTGTGCACATTTTGTGACGTACCGTTATGCACTTTTGTGCTCTACATGTACACTTTTTGCATATTCTTATACACTTTTTGTATAACATTTTAATTAAAATTTTTATATAATTAACAAAACGCCACCGCATTTTTCACTTAAAATTTGATCTCTTCCATTCATTTTTTCAAACCAATGATCAAGATCAGTTCTTACTTTTCACCCAGGAAGCACTTTTTATTTGATTCATACTCTCTCTATATATGTGTGTGTGTGTGTGTGTATATATATATATATATATATATATATATATATATATATATATATATATATATAGTACCGATCGATCCGACCTCCTTTCAGGAGCGGAGCTAGGGGAGGGCCAATCCTGGCCCTGACCCAGCCAAAATTTTAAAAGTGTCTAAATTTTAAGTGTAAAAAATTCTGTGTAATTTGTTTCCAAAAATATTCTTTGTATCGGCCCAGTCTGGCCCAGTGTCCTGGCTCCACCCCTGCCTCCTGTTCGACAAAGCCTATTAATTCAGGGATTAAACATAATCTTATTTGATTAATTATTTGTTTATTTTACCAATGCCGCAGTGAGTTTGGAAGTGCAGGATTTGGGCAAAGCGTCAGTGGATCCCTGTCCAACGAGAATACTTGAATTAGAAAAACCTAGTTATGCAATAACTTTCAATTTTTCACAATCCAATGACAAAATCTGAATTTGCAGGGTAAATGGTACTCCGTATAAAATAATGAAATCGAGTCTAAGACCAGAGATGAATACATGCAAATTAATCAACCCTTTAAAGAATGATAGAAATTGGTTTCCTTTGATGTGATGATTCCTGTAAATAAAAAATAAAAAAAGAACAACAGTTGTATTAGAATCTGTTTAATTAGTACTCCCTACATAGTATATTTTGTTGATAAGATAAGATTATAAACTTTCTTGTAATGGCGTATGCAGGAGTTTAATTAGGTTAGCGGGACGACTTTAACTAAAATTTTATGGCTTGATATGACTTTTCTTTTTTACCACGGGTGGTTTTTTTTTTGTTTTTTATGAAAGACACAATTTTTTTTTTTTTATATCAGTTTTATTAAAATTCCTTTTAGTCCAAGAAGCTACAGGGTTATACCTTTACAAGCATACACATTTAATCCCACTAGCAAATTAAAAACAATGTAGGTTATGTAGTCCTATTTGTGATTTTTGTGTATTACTTCGATCCGTATGTATATGCACAGTGCAATAGATAATGATTATTGTGCATCAAATTGAAAATTTGGGCGACTTATATTAATTCTCATTTTACACGTTACGATTCCTTTTTATTTGAACAAAACTATGTATGTATGTATGTATGTATGTATGTATGTATATTGTAGGGTGGATTGAAGTTTTAGTACTATAACTTCAAGTTGTGTCCATTATTGGTCCTATATTTTACGCGATTGCAGATTTGGTCATGTAGCTAATAATTTTTTATAATTTAAGGATTTTTCCACCGTAAAGTAAACTCTCCGGTAGAAAATTTTACATCAGTGACAACTTTTCAGCAAACTTACGACTGGAAAGTGCATTTTGCTATGAAAAAGTTCTTAGGTTACCACTGAGTAAAGTTATAGAATCAATAACGGGCACAATAAAAAGTTAGAGGACTAAAATTGCAACTTTCAATTCCCTACATAGTATGTGTGTGAGATATGATCCATGTGTGATAAAAATTACTTACGAAAGGAAAAAATATCCTCCATCTGAGAAGCACTTCACCCGAAAAGCAGAGGGGAGAAAGCCACGAAATCTATCACAGTAGATGGCAGTAGCAACTCCTCCGGCTGAACTACCAAGTAAAAGAGCCTAGCATATTAAATTACAAGTTTAAAATCATTATAAAATTCTTTGAAGAGGAATACGTTCATTATAATATTAATTAATTTAACTAATGAAATTGCTCCGATGGGAGTAAACATAGAAAAGTATAAAAATAGCCAAATAGGAGTACCGAGTACTTGTTCCTATTTACGTATAAAAAAGAGCTTGGAATATCACAAGTTTAAATAATGAAATTGCTCCTATTTACGTATTATTATTATTACTGTATTAGTGTGACGATTCGCTACTTAAAGCCTTAAAGCTATGCATTACATACATAAACACCCCATGCAAATAATATACGTAGTATATTCTTATGTACATATGCAATAAGTCAAATGTTTTTCAGTGACCATTTTTAGTTGATATGCTACACGCCTACACATAAATATTCTGTTACAGCATAATTAAATGAATTGTTCCTTTCAATCAAAGTCATTTTATGAATTTAATTTCCTTTTCATTTTAACTAAATAAGTCAAACATTAATTACAGTAGAGAATTCAGCCAATCCAAAATAATAGACGAGTATAGAAAGTTTAAAAATTAAGTGAGATTGAAATTTACAACATCTATTATATTCGGCAGATGCAACTGGAACTTTTATGCGAATTGAACTACGCTGGTGGCGGCAGATCGGACGGCGGGAGTGGCTAGTGGCAGCTCCGATTGGGATATCCTTGTTCAAACCGGAAACAATACTTCTATTTTGGGAATTTTAAAAATTTACCAAAAGACGGGAAAAGTTGGATAGGGTTGCCAAAACACGGGGATTTTTTGAGGGTTTACGAAAAAAAGGGAGTCGGAACTGCTTGTTCCCACTAGCGGCATGGTTCTTGAAAAACAAAAAATCCCCTCCTGTCGGAAGTGGCTAATCCGACAAGGAGGAGTTTATATTTTTTTTTTGGCCGAATTCTTAGTTCTTAACTCTTTGATTTTCAAATTTTTAAAAGTCGGTTATAAAAAAAAATTAAAACTAAAGTTTTAAATTAATTTTATCAATTCCAAATTTAAAAGTTTTTTTAAATTCCTGTCATATTTTTTAAAATGAAAATAATGCATTTTGATTTTTTGAGTAACAAAACATTTGATTGCTTTATATTATTTTTTAATCCATTTGTGTTGTGAATTTTGTTTTAAATGCAATTTTTGTAATTTTAAGTGCAATTTTTGTAATTTTAATGGAAGTGAACAAAACAACGAATAGACACTAATTTATTAATGAATAGATAGTACATACGATATTAAATTTAATACTACATCTAACGTTGCGTGCTCGGCCCTGCTCCGTCCCCGCCACCAGTGTTCCAAGTCCTCGTTGTGTCTCCATAATAAAATGACGAAATCAGAATTGACTCAACATAATCACCTGCCTGTGTGGAGTACTGATAAGAATCATAATACGGCGGCGGTTGATCAAATGATACACCTCATTTCCTCCACAATAAAAGACCAATTCCTATATACTTCTAAGCTCAGTTTAGACAAGTTATTTCTTTATAATTTCTTCATGTTTAGTCTCTAAATGAGGAGCTAAACTCTTACATCTTGGTTTTGCTACTTTGAAGCTTAATGAATTGTAAGTTGTGAGTTGTTTTCTTTAATCTTTTTCCTTGAATATTAATTAATTCATATTCTTATTTCATATTAATATTTTGAGCATTACTTAAAGGATCAACTAGTTTTGTTTCATATATTAATTAATACTAGAATCGGTCGATTAATACGCTTGTTATTAATTCAGTCCTTTCACGGTAGTAAACTTGGATTATTAATGCATGCGTCTCATGGTTAATAATCTAAGGGGAATTAATTATATTGATTAAACCAATAAACCGCTTGTGTTAAGGTACTCAATCTCAATCGTTTTCATCTTGATTTTATTGCTACTACCGAGTGAATATACGGCGTGTGTTCTATATTGGCTCGGTAGTAAGTTTTATTAATGAACGTGTCTCGTTATTAATAAATACCCTCGATGAATTGGATATATTCCTCGATTGAGTATTCGAGAGGAAGATAGTTAAAGATACAACCGGGATCGACGAACATTTCATTAAGTGGATAAAAGCAAAACCAAGTCCCCTCATCATTAATTAGACCACATAAGTCGTTCATTTTCGTGCTGATCAAATGAGACACCTTGACGTGTTGAGAGTTGAGGGGGCGATTGTGATTGTTCACCCCCCATCTTCATGTTCATCTGCATCTTCACGTTTAAAAATTTCAAAATAGAACTGCCATATTTGTATGCTCAAAATAGGAATAATTATTGTCAAGGTCAAAAAATATTGACATGTTTAAAGTCTGGTACATTCAAAACATAGTAATAACTAGTCATATTTGGGAATAAAAATAAGACAATCCTAATTTGAAATATAAATTTGATTTTTTTAAAATGCAATATATGTAATTTAATGGAAGTGAACATGCCAAATGTAGTTTTTTAATGTAATTCCATAAATAAATTTGTACATACAATAATAAATTTAATTCTACATCTAACGTTGCGTGCTCGGCCCTGGCATGTCCTCGCCATGTCGGGGTGTAGCCTGTCGCCGGCACAACGTGAGAAGGGTTCCCGACACATGACATCCTTTGTTTTTCGTAATACAGCGTGTATCCACTATTATGTTGGTCCGCCCACCTTGTCAAGACAGATGTTGATACGACGGAACGACTAGTATGATGATCATTACCCTGCTCAATTTATGTGATTAGATTTATCTGATTAAAATTTATCTGATTAAACTTTACTCGGGTATTTGATTAGATTTATCTTATTAAAATTTATCTGATTAAACTTATCTCTTTTAATTTATCTATTTCATTTTATCTGATTAAATTTATCTGATTAAGATTGATTTGATTAAAATTATCTGATTAGATTCATCTGATTAAGATTTATAAGATTAAAATTTATCTGATTAAATTTATCTGAACAAATTTATCTGATTAGATTAATCTGATTAAAATTGAACACGTACATAAATATTATACTTGGAACCAAATATTTGGCTTTTATTGTTCGATCAATAATTTGTAGAAAAAGAAAACGATCTACCTAGTTTGATCTTTTTTTTTAAAGGCCGGATCTACCAATTCTGAAAGGAGGGAAAAGAAATTGAGCAAATCTTCCTAGTCGGATTTACCAATTCCGACAGGAGGTGTGCAATGAAAATATAACTCTGGTTGGAACACGGAATTCCGACTTACGTTTTTGGGTAACCTAAACGTAAGTCCCGTGTTTTGGCATGTCAGATTCGAAACTCCCGTTTTTTGGTAATTCTACTACGTACATAGTACGGATTTCCGGCCTCATTATTTATTATTGTAGTACTCATGTTGTTGAAGGTACAAGGTCTATAATAATCTCTCCTCCGTCCTCAACATATATACGAGTACTATTTTTCGTTAATAACTTTTCAATTTCTAAATAAAAAGAGTGAGATCACTTTTGATGCGAGTTCTTAAAAAAGGTAGGAAAATTTGCAATTTTCATCCCGTAATTTTTGGTCGTTTTCACTATTACTCCCGTACCACTAGTTACTTACAAATTTGGTCCTGTAACTAATTAATTAATATTTACGATTTAATGACTATTCTCCTGAAAAGTACACTTTCCTACGATAATATACCGGAGAAGATGTAGCCGGCGTCGGATTTTTCTGCTGGAAATTGTACTTTCCGGTGAAGAAGTCCTTAATTAAGTTGCAAAGATTTATTAGTTACAAGATCAAATTTGCAAGTGATTAAAGTTACCAGACCAATAACGATAACTACCGAAACTTACAGGACTAAAATTGAAAACCAAAGGTGTGATATTTTTCAAAGAACCGAATATTAAACATAAAGAAGCTTATACTCTTAAAGAAGGTAAATTAGACGTTCATTAACTAATTAAATTCAAGTGGTTTTAAATTTTTATCATACCTGCTTAGCTTGTTTTGTTTGTAAATTTTGAAAAAATTAAACAGAAATGCGTACATTCTCTGCCCTGTCCATTCCTTTGCCTAGCAGTTCTTGTATCACTGCATTGAAAATCCTGGCTCCCCTAAAGTAATAGGTTGTGCCCTGCAAAAAGTGAATGAGTATGTAATAACCTAAGCTACAGATAGGACAAAAACACATTTGCATGGTACTTCTAGAACATCATTAAAAGTAATTATACTAGATAATTTTAATGAATGAAATAAAATACGTAGTAAAAAAATTGAGCGTACGTTTTTTGTTTTCTGAGAGTTTCCTGTGAACGATGAGCCGTCACAATACCTAACCCAGACTTTGTTCCAGTTGTAAAATTCTAAAACATTTCAAAGATTAAACATGTTAGCACCATCACAGAACAAATACGTAGTATAAAATGCTGAGAATTAGAAATATACTAACACATACACGTAAATATAAATACAGGTTATGATGAGTGTGGGGCATGCACCATCCATGCATGCATACAAACAAACATACATACATGTATTTATGTATGCATGTATGAGTGCATGTATGTAACAACCTAAGCTACAAAGTGAATAAATAGGATAACAATATTGAAGCATAATATTACCATAATATTAACATATGTTTATCACGTGTAATTATCATGTACGCAGGGTTAAGTTTTATCCCTTAGTTTATGCTAGTTAGTTAGTCTAGCTTATCACCTCAATTGTAACTTATATATTGATGTACGTACATCATGCTGAAGGCATCAATACATACTATACTTCTCATAATACTTCTTTATGATATCAAGAGCCTTTCTCTAACGAGCTCAGTTATTTTTTCCTGATCCATTCATGTCGATCATCACCCCTACCACCAGAGTCGTTTCCCTCACAGCTTCAACCCACTTCACTATAAAATTAACTACCTCAAATTATCCCGTATGGAAGTGTCTGGTTCACTCGGCCCTCATTGGCCTTGGTCTCGACAGCTATGTCGATGGCTCAACTGCAGCGCCAGACAAAACTAAATGTGCATGCATGCATACATACATGTATTAATGTACTTCCTCTGTTCTTTTTTAGTTACAACATTCCGTTTTTCACGTTTGTTAACACACAACTTTGACCATTATTATATTAAATTCTAGAGGTATTTACCCAAATGGGAATAAATGCATCTTTAATTGCTAAAATAGGACTCAAGATAAAAAAAAACTCCCTGAATAGGAGTTATTATATGTAACAAGCCAAAAACACCCTTGAAGTTGGGAAATCACTGCTGCCGACCAGAGTGCCGGGCCTCCTCCAGGCACCGGTATCCGCCGGTCACCGCCAGTCGCTGCCACCAAGTCAAAACCGGTCTCTGCTACAGATCTGACTGTCGCCGTTGCCGTAGATATGGTATTTTCCGCCGCAGATCTGGCGGCGTCGCTATTCCGCCGGCCTCCAACCACTGTTTTTTGTAGATCCGACCACTTTTGTAGCAAATCCGGCATCTGCCACTGAAATCTGGCCTGTATCGTTGCAGATCTGGTCGTTGCCTACACGAATGCCAAAGTTTTTATAAAAATGCCAACGTGAATCTAAAATGCCATTTTAATGGCATTTTCAAAGAAAAATATAAAAATTTGTAGAATAAGAATGCCATTTTGATGGCATTTTCAGATTTGAACTTGGCATTTTTTACCAATAATGAAGAAATGGAGCACATGCAACGAAATAGAAGAGGGAGGAGAGGACTAGAGAAGAGGGGAGGAAGGACAAGGAGAACAATCAAAAGAAGAGAACCTTACCTTCGACGAGAAGGTCTCCGACGTCGACGGCGGCACTTCGCGGCAGCGGCGGCGGACTTTGACTGGGCAGAGGAGGCGGACTTCGCGTCAACGGCGGCGGTCTTTGAAGGTTTGACCCTTCATGTGCGAAGGGAAAGAACAAGAAGTTGGGTAGGGGAAGGAGACCAGCAGGGGGGAGAGGAGAAGAAAGAATCGGCTGGGGAGGGAAGAAATATGATGCGTAGGTGTAGGGAAAGAAAATAGGGACAGATGGGTAATTAAGTCCTATTTAGGGCAAAAAAATAAGCATACTCCTATTTAGGAATTTCAGGAATAGTTTAGTCCCATTTAGGGCAAAAAACCTAAATTCTATATTTGTAAAAAATAACTAAAAATGAGATTATATGAAACTTAGTTATGAGGCGAATTCAAAAATATTTTTCAAATAAAATAATTCACACACAATAATAAATAAAATGTAGTCAAAGTATAGTATATGAATAGTGTATCAATTCCAATGTTGCAACTAATGCAATACGGAGGATAGTACTACGTTCGTACACACATGCATAAATATAACTTGAACAATCAATTAAGTATTTGAATTGGGTGTCAAAAGTTTTAAGAAATTATTAGCTTAGAACTTATAGAAGTTATAGTTAAATTCTCTTAGAATTTATAGAAATTCCCTTGAAATATATAAACATGAGTGAATAACTTTTGTGTATATAAATAGTTACTATAAAAATTATACTAACGAGATATTATTGTGAGTTTGTGACTAGTTGATCTACACTAAATTGGAGTCACACCTGGGTTTTTGTCGCTGTTGTTGCTGAATATTGTATCATCGCGAAAAGCAATTGGAACGGCATCGTTATCAAGACCTTTCCTATGAATATAAGTTCTGCAATCACTGATATTTTTGCACCATCCTCCTCCCTAATATACATTAATTTAAATTGGTTAAAAATAATAATAGTTCCGCTGAATTATACGGAGTGTAATTTTCAAATCTTCGTGACGAAGATTAATATTTCAACACTATTTGTAGTGAATGAACCATTTATTGAATTGTTTCACCATTTTTTAGTTATTAAAATGGTTGAAGAACTTAAATATACTACCTCCGTCCCGAAAAGGTTCGTCATATTGACTTTTGTTGGTCAATGATGACGAACTTTGGACAATGATTTTAAGTATTATATTTGTATATAATTTATAAATTTTATACTTTTATAAAAATATTTTGAATAAGGAACATTTTGATATAACTTTCAAATTCTAAATAATTTCGTATTAAAAGTTATAAATGGTCAAACTTGATTGCCATTGATCAAGAAAAGTCAATTTGACGAACCTTTTTGGTACGGAGTGGGGGAGTATTATATAGACAAAGTATTTGATAGTTGACTGACTTGGCGAATTGGTCATTAGATACATACTATAGGGTGCGGTTCCAGTAAGAACAGATCTTAGGAGAATAAATGAGAATGAATCTGGACCGTTGGATTGTATTATGTGGAACCAAATTGTGCATTTGGTGAAACTGAAATGTGCATTAAATGATATTGAAATGTGCAAATTAAAATAAAAATTTAAACTCAAGTGTGCATTAGATGAAACTGATATGTGCGAAAAAAAGTACAAAAATAACATCACATCGTACTTTTTATTCTGCACATTTCAGCCTCACCTAGTGCACATTTCAATTTCACGTAATGCACAATTCAACTGCACATAATGTCGTGATGCACATTTCAATTTCACCTAATGCACATTACAGTTTCATCTAATGCACATTAAATTTCACTTGAAGCAAATCTAACGGTCCAGATTCGTTCTCATTTCTCTCATAAGATTGTGTTCTTATTTGAACCAAAATATATAATACGGAGTACGTGTTAAATCAAACGAAATTTTGAGAAAAAAGAATGGTGTCATTTTCCTATTAAAATTTTATTTTCTGTGCTAGTGAAAACTTCCACGTGGACATCTAACAGGAGCAGTTGAAGTGAGTACTAATTTTTTAATAGATTTTTGATTAATTATTAATAACCGGTTATAAATGATCCCGTGGACAACCCAGTCACGTCCAAATATTTTAAATACGCACTAGCTCCGCAAATAAATGAATAATAGGTTTTGTGTGGCTGCATGTAAGAAGTAATTAGTGGACCAGTGAAATCTAGGGCGGTTAACGAACCGAGCTTTTATCGAACTATTTGAGTTCGAGCTCAGTTTCGAACCTAACGAGTCGAGCTTAACGAGCTTTCGAACTCGAACCCGAGCTGAGTTTTAAGTTCGAAATATTAATCGAGCCGAGCTCGAACATAGTAGTATTAGGCTCAGTTCGAACTCGAGCCTATCGAACAAATTATAAATATGATATATATATATATATATTAAAAATTTAAATATAATTAGTATGATTTTTTGCATTTAAATGTGTTTATCAACGAACCGAATACTTGTCGAATAATTCGAGCACGAGTCTATTAACGAGCATCACCTAGAATTTTAAAATCGACCATATTTATCGAGCTTAACGAGCGCTCGGTTCGAACATCGAACGCCTATTGAGCCGAACACGAGCCTCATTTGTAAAGCTCGCCGAGCTTCGAGTTCGAACCCGAACACCATTAATTCCTTATCGAGCCGAACTCGAGCTTTAGGTGTTCGGGCTCGGCTTGGCTCGTTAACACCCCTAGTGAAATCTACACTAGGAAATAAATTAGTGTTAATAATGTACGGAATATATATTATTAGCAAGTATAATCGTGTAGTTAATAACTAAGAAGTAATAATAATGTTTTCTTTTGGACTGTTTTCAGTCCCAGACCAGACCAGACCATACTTAAACAGACCAGACCAGACTTAAACAGACCAGACCAGACCAGACCAGACTTAAACAGACCAGACCAGACCAGACCAGACTTCCGTAGTTATAAAATACACAGAGACCAGACGTTTACCAGACCAGACCAGATCAGTTCAGACCAGACCAGACCAGACTTAAACAGACCAGACCAGACCAGATTTAAACAGACCAGACCAGACCAGACCAGCAAATTTCAGTCCAAAAGAAAACATATCCTTACATTGTGAAATAGAAGCCAATTTCTCAGTCCATCGCCATATCCTGGAAGGAAGTAGTACGAGGCTGGTTTCCCACTCAAACACACTACACAAGAAAAATCATTTTTATGGTTAGTATATATAACATGGTTAAACTTCACAATTTGATATCAACTTATCTATTAAGCATCTTTAATAATTGTCGTTTTTTACATAACTATTTATTGTAACTATTTCGTTTTAAATAGTACTCCCTCCGTCCCATAATTATCTTCATTCTTTCCTTTTTGGTCCGTCCCAAATTTATCTCCTCTTTCCCTTTTTAGCAAAGGATTTGTGGTTCACAACCATTCTTACACATTTCTCTTTCCTCTGCACAACTCTCCACCACACATTTTCCACTTTCTTAATCTCCGTGCCCAGTCAAAACCGAAGTTAATTCTGGGACGGAGGGAGTAAAAATTAGGCTGCCTCCCTATATTTGTAGTGGTTAAGTTCCGGGTTCCTTTTAAAATTAAAATAAAGCATATTAAGAAGTTGTAAAAATGAAAATAACAAATGGTATAATGTTAAATTAATAAAGTACGTACTCCGTATTATACTAAAATCTTGGGCTAATTTTTAGAATAAAACCGCAGAGTCCTAAGTCCTAACATGAAGGATGTTTTCTTTTGGACTGTTTCAGTCCCAGACCAGACTAGACCAGATCAGACCAGACCAGACCAGACCAGACCAGAGTTGACTTTCGTAGTTATAAAATACACAGAGACCAGACGTTTACCAGACCAGACCAGATCAGACCAGACCAGCAAATTTCAGTCCAAAAGAAAACATCTGAAGACTACTTAGCATGTTTTCTTTTGGACTATTTTCAGTCCCAGACCAGACCAGACCAAACTATAACTGACCAGATCAGACCCGATCAGACCAGACCAGACTTGACTTCCGTAGTTATAAAATGCACAGAGACAAGACATTTACCAGACCAGACCAGTTTAGACCAGACCAGACCAGTTCAGACCAGACCAGCAAATTTCAGTCCAAAAGAAAACATCCTTAATTGTGTTTTGACAAATATAATGCACCTCGTGTTCTAAAATAATTGTCAATTAAGGCAATTATTTTATGGCAGTAAGTTAGCTGTTTAAGAAATTTTATGTGCGGGTTATACTCAATTAATTGTCAATGTCGCAAATTTGTTCAATGTAATTCATAAAAAATTAAAAAGGTTGCATGTGGTTTATAAAATTTAATTAAAAGCTAGCATTTAATGTTTCAATTGTATAAAAATATGGGTACATTTATAAAACATCAAATACGGTGTACTCCGTAATATTTATGGAGAGCGACTACTAGACTGGGTTAATTAATTTCGATTTAAGAGATCAAAATGTGAAAATAGGAGTGGATAGACACGAGTATATATATAAAACAAGCTTGGTAATGAAGAAATAAAGATGAATTACTAACTAACCTGCCCCGTCATCAATGGTAACAAAGGTTGGATACACAAGAGTGTCGTTGCCTGAAACTAAAAAACACAGCAAAATTATATGCTGGGCCGCATTATTCATGCCTGACAACTACCACCACCGCATCAGAAGTGCTGGCGGAGCCGCCAGAGGTGGAGGCGGAGATGCGGAGGTAATTGATACTTGACCGCCACCACTATATTGCAATAATTACAAAATTACGACATTTTCAGAATTGGTGGAACGTAACAATTACCTACCTTCCGCTTTGCGTCCTCCTTCTGCAAGGGAGGCATTGACAGAGAAAGAGAGTGGAAGTAGAAGGGCAAAGAGGATTAGGAACAGCTGGTCGAGTCTGCTTGCAATTGTCGCCATTTTTCTTGTAACTTGCTTGCTGGTGAGATAAGCTAGCTAGCTTGTGAGAGAGAAAGATTGATTTAATTTGTGAGCGTGGATAAGGAAGGAAAACGACGAAGAGTATTTATGGACACACGAAGCCTTTTTTTTGTGACGCAGAGGACACAGAAGGCAACTTCATATTTATAAAAGGTGCTCCTATTAATGAGGAAGAAATGATGACCGCAGCTTTATTAAAAGTAGAGTTCTCTTCGTCCTGTCGGAATGATTCTCATGTGAATTTTGTAAACACATAATTACCCTAGATATGATTGAGACTTGTTCACTTTCTCAATCTACCACCTAACTAGTTTTTGTACCAAAATAATATTAAAAATCACAATATTTAAATAAAATTTGTAATAAATAAATACATAAATAATTCAGGTTGACAAATATACCCTTTAAATCATATCTATAAAAACATAAGCTCCCACTCTTTTTTCCAACCCTAGCCTATATTCTCCCACCTCAGAAGATCCGCCCGCAGCCGCAAGCCTCTGCAGCTGCCGCCACCCCCATGGCCCGCCGTCTGCCGCCGACCCATGGCCTGCCGTCCGCCGCCTTTCAGGAGTATGTTTGCAGCAGCCAGTCCGTTGATTGCTCGGCCACTCCAGCCCCACACCTACTCGAGGCAGCCACCATCCAGACCAACGCGACCCACCCCCGCCATCATCCCTACAAATGTGCGCCGCCGTCGTCACAATCCATGCGCGCCACCGCCGTGGCGAACCATGCAATCTGCCGCCCAGTTGCCCGCGTCGATCTGTCCGATGCGCTTACCGTGGAATGATGCCAAAATCTAGCAGGGAGGTCCATGGGTGCGGCGCAAGTTATGTTCCTAAACTAGGTTTGTAGCACTTTGTACGTACGTGAGGATGGGCCTGCAAATTTGGGTTTGCTTTGGATACGGAGACCACTCCTTTGAATTTGTTGCGTGGAATTTTTTGTTGGACACATGCCACTGCTTTGGATTTGCTATCTTTGCCTTTCATTCTCATTTTTCTATTTTTTAAATTAAGAATTTCTAAAATTAGTGTTTGTGGGCATTAAATATGAGCATTGAACACTGTCACTGAACATTTCAATAAGTGTGGAGTATTGACAATGAATATATATATGGTAATAGACATGTTGTACATGGCAGTGAACGAATGCATTAACGAATTTTGTTGTGCAATAATTATGATCAGTATTGCAGTAACACAGAGCAGTGATATCATCGATCATGAAATGAAATATACTTAATTAGACTTAAAATAATAAAATTATTAAATTTTAAAAAAAATACTCAATTGAATAATAAGAGAATTAATTTTAGGGGAAGTGCAGTGATTATTACCGGGTGTGCAGTAAAGTCATGCATTAATGTTGTGCATTAACGGCAATATAAAGTGCAATAATTTTAATTGGTCGAAATTAGTGCAAAATGCACATATTTTAAATAAGGATATTTTTGTCATTCAACATTTAAATATAAACGAATTTTCTATTTTTTTTGGTCATACAAAGGTATAAAAACTAGTTAGGTCATAGATTGAGAAACTCATTGAGTTTTAGTCATATCCTATTAAATTTCCCTTTTTTAAAATATGATATGATTTTATCTGAATTTTACTGTCTGAATCTTTCTGATCTGATTTAAATCTTTCTGATTTGGTCTGATTAGATGCGAATCTTTTTTATCTGATCTGAATGTTTCTGATCTGATCTGAATTTTTCTGATCTGATCTGATGTGAATCTTTCCGATCTGATCTAAATCTTTCTAATCTGGTCTGATCTGAATAAATTAAGAGTAAGCAATAAGTAATAAGAATTAGACGAAGAGAACACCACATTTCGTAATAAGATAGTCTATAACATTTACCTTGTAGATCCTATAGAAGAGTCCAGACAGCTCCAGAGAACCGTTACATTAGCTAAAAAATAAATTAGAATTATTTGTATTTAGTATTATAAATCAGTTACAATCAAAACCCCCCCCTTTACTTACTATTTATATAAAAAGAAAATTATTCCTTTCCCTGTGGATACGAACTCTACTTCACCTATACTACGTATAAGTGTTAGTGTTGAATTTATTTTGAGTGCACTCACGACAAAGTGCACGTCAGCTATGAAAGCGTCGGAAAGGTATGAAATTAAATCAATTTATTATTTTTACCGTAAGGATTTTTATGCTAAATATCTTCTATAATCTTTTATTCCATAGCTATGAATACCTCTTGCGAATTTGCGATTCCCCTGATTTCAGCTTCTCCGATTTTCTTCATACTTCTGATGTTATTCAATCTTTCATTCTTTCATTGTGTCACAGTGTAAGTGTGTTATTTCTGTCCTGTGTGGCTGCTTCCTGCGAGTGGAATACTGGAATCAGTGGATACCGGACAGCCAAACTACCGTCTAGCAAAGCAAGTAAGCAACCACTCCAACCGGATTCATCTAGGCAGGCACTGGGTAGCAACCACTGTATAAGAAGAATTGCATTTGAGTATGAAGTATAATCATAAAATACTACCACCGTTCTTAAATAAATGCAACGGTCAACATTTCACACTTGACGAGACACAACTTTGACCATTAATATAAATGATATTGTATTAGTAAAACAATTAAAAAAAAATAGATCATGAAAATTTACAATGAGACAAGTTTAACAATATTTTTTCATAAAAGAATATTATTACATTAATAAATACGTAGTAAAACGTAGTCAAAGTAGAATATGTAAATAGTGTAAAAGTCAAAGTGTTGCATTTATTTAAGAACGGGGGTAGTATGATATTACTTTTTATTTTATTATTTGTATTTTTTGTATTAAATATCAGGGCCTCCGATTTTCCATTTGAACAGGGCCTTCCATTAGTCAATGCCGGGCCTGTTTACTGTAGAGTACACTGTTGAGGCACTGTTTGACACTGTTGAGACACTGTTGAGACACTGTTTGGCACTGTGGAGACACTGTTTGGCACTGTTTGACACTGTTTTGATGTAGATTTCTTTGCCAAAAAAGAAAATAAGGAAGTGTGAAGTTTATTTTAGACCGTCCCAAAAAGAAAAGTGTGAAGTTTATTAAAAACTGGAGGGAGTATATTTTCAAAAAAGTATTTGGTTGATACATATTGTCAAACTGAATAATAATTTGTTTTAGTAAATATAATAGATAGTATCAATGGAAGGATAAAATATAGTGTGATGTTAATCACCCTTCGTCGTAGGTTGTATCTGCTAAACATTCACTAAAAATTAAATATATATTAGCATCACAGTCGGGGACGGATTTAAGGGGGGCGCGGGGGCGAACGCCCCCCTTGGACTTTCAATTTTTTCTACTATATATGTAGTATTTTCATATTTTAATTAGTTATATATGTTTTCGTCCCCCTTGACTTTTAGTTTTCAAAGTTAATATATAGCCTTACATAGTGTAATACTTAGAGCATCTCCAATGGTAAAATGTGCACGGTGCACACGTGGCATGAGAAATAGTCACATAAATATTAGTAAATAAATTCTTTCTCTCCTTATTTGAGTGATTTTATACAGTTTTGGTAAGTTTTTTTCTACAATGTCAAGGAGACCGTCTACATGTTGACATTGTTGTTGACATTGCAGGGAAAAATTTACCAAAATTGTATAAAATCATTCAAATAAGGAGAGAGATAATTTATTTGCTAATATTTATGTGGTTATCACTCATGTCACATGTGCACCGTGCACATTATAGCATTGGAGATGCTCTTAATTGTAGGTTTAAAAGAAGTAAAATCTAAAATAATTTAGATAGTTTAAAACTTAGGATACCTATTATATACAAATTCCTAGCTTTGTAATATTTATATATCTTTAGTTATTAGACAATTAGTACTAAATTTTGTAAAAGATCAAACAATATTAAATAGTTTTAGATCATGTGAAGTGAATCCAAAATATAAACATTCGTTGATATAAAATTATACAATTCATTTACTTTTTACTTTCTAAAGCAATTTATTGCATAAATAATAAACTTTAACGTATTTTAGCGCTAATACAAATATAATACACACCATATATATGAATTAGCAATACTACATATAATATTATTCTAAAAATAATAATCTCATACATATTATTGTAATATTAAGAAAACTTCTCGTGACCTATGAACACCCCCTTGGTAGACAAAAACTACAATTCAAAAATCAATTCTTTATTCTGATAAGATTCATGTGATTAAACAAGACATAAGTTATTTAAAAGACATTGATTGATGTGTGCCTTTTAAACTTTTTACCTTGAAATAATTCGACAAAATGTTATATATTATTTTTTATTTTCAAATAAATTTCCTTTGATTTGCAATTTAATTTCTTATGCATTCACGGTTACAAAAGTAAAATTATTTTTTCATTGTCTAAACTTAGAATGTAATAGATTTAAATGTTATCGTGTATGTACCAGTGATTTTTTTTAATAAGTTTAGCGACAGAGCCCTACAATAGTGAAAAAACACTACAAAAAAAAATACGGGATTGACAGAGATTTTGGCACGGATTTTGGCAGGGATACGCCAAATCCGTGCCTAAAACACTTTGGCACGAGCTATTTGGCACGAAAAATTGATAAGTCCGTGCCAAATTCCGTGCCAATCCCGCCTTTTTTTTTTTGTAGTGAAAATTCATCTCGCTACATTACCGAAAAAAAGTTTGCCTAGTTACATTAGCGAAAAACAGTTTACCTTGCTACACTAGTAGAAAAATGTCCTTGGCACATTAGCAATTTTTTTTTTGCCCCCACAACATCAGTGAAAAAAAATATTGCCCCCTACACTAAAGAAAAAATTCGCCCCCTTGACTCGAAATCCTAGATCCGTCTCTGATCACAGCTGTGCAGTATAATAACATGCAAAAAATGGGCAATGGATAGTAACAATATATACACAAATCCACTAAGCCAGCGGTGTACACATGCATGTGTAATGTGTGTTTATTGTTTAAACATGTTGTTAACAGGCGGGAACAGGTTTTTCCATACGAACTTCATTTTTATATATATAGATTGAGTGAATTTCCTAAATAGGACTAAAATGTGGCAAAATTGCACAAATAGGACTACATTTTTTAAATTCCCTTAATAGGACTATTTATGTGTGTTTGGACAAATATACCCTTGTAACTTGTAAAATGTTTTAATTAATAATAAAATCATACAAAAATAATAAAAATCGAAAAAAATACTAAAAATCGTAAAAAGATAATAGAAAATTAATAAAAATAATTATTAAAAAAATTAAAAAAAAATATTTAAAAAAAAATAAAAAAAATTAAAAAAAAATCGTAAAATTAAAAAAAAAACATTACCACCCCTGCCACCCCCCAGCACGACCAGCTCCCATCACCGGAGAAAAAAATGCCAACATTTTAAATAATGTCATAATGATGGCATATTCAATGAAAATGTTGGCATATTGAAGAGTAATTATGCCATCTTTTTGGCATTTTCAGAAAGAGATGGCATTTTTTTACCAAAAGTGGAAGAAATTTCACCAATCGGAGGTGGTGGTGCTGGGAGGCGGCGGGAGGCGGTGGGAAAGGTATCCATAATGTTTTTCATTTTTTATGGGTTTTTACTATTTTTTATTATTTAAAAAAAAAATTAAAAAAAATAAAAAATAAAATTTTTTATTTATAAATGTTTTATAATTTTTTTATAATTTTTGTACGCTTTTTAAATATTTTTTACGTTTTTTAAATATTTTTTTATGTTTTTTATGATTTTATTATGAATTAAAGCATTTCATTATGAATTAATACTCTTAGGGGTATTTAGGGTAGAAAATCAATGTTTAGTCCTATTTAGGGAATTTAAAAAGTAGTAGTCCTATTTGTGCTTTTTAGGAACTCATTAGACCTATTTAGGACAATTTCCGATATAGATTTCTAATAAGTGATAAAAAGTTGAAAAGCTAAATAATTCAACTAATATGGTGGCCGTGTGCAATCGACGTCCGGGCAGGGATTCTGGTCAATTATTTGTACTCGTTTTCGGTCAAAATACCAGTCTCTTAAAAGCTGATTATAAGTCTGTTCAAATCAAAGAAAGAAGTAAAAAAGCAGATTAGTTTGATATTATATGCAATATATGAAAGGAAAAACATCTCAACATTCATGTTTACCCCTAAATTAAAATATACTCCATATGCATTAGAGACTAATTGTTATGCCGTGAGAGTAGATCATAGTGAGCATATTACTTCCAGAGTTAAAACACGTATGAACAATAGCACGCATGAACAATAATTTATGAGTTTTTTTACCTAAATATTACCACTAGTAATTACATAGACAAAAAAGTGACTAGTGCTAATAATAAGCAAAGAAAACAAACGGTTCACATGTGATGGTTATTTCTAAATAGGGAGGTTACTAATATTGTTGTCCAACAGTTTTTAAATGGTAATATTTCTGTAATTTTTTCATAATTTATTTGTTTTGTTTAAGTAGTAGAGTGACGTAACTCGCGTGTAAGGAAATATAACACATGTTGATGAGATGTAACTAGTAACTACAGTCCAGTCGAAATGTAACTTATCCAATATAGAGTATAAGAAATAAATATTGATTTCAATAATGTAAGCAATGAAAAAAGAGTCTACATGCTCAATTACATTACGTAAAGAGTGAATATGTTTTATTTTTAATATTAGGGCCATTAAAAATGAATTTAAAAATCATTTTTTCATCAATAATAGGGTTTTTTTGTGATGTAACTTGTGTTATGGCAAATGTAACCCGTGTTGATGGAAAATGCAACTTACATGTATGCAAAATGTAACTATTTGAGACAAGTCCAAATGTAACTCACACATAAGAAGATTTAACTTGCGTATAAATAAGAGATATAACTCAAGCACATGAAGATGCAAATCGCATATAAGAAGATGTAACTCCATATATTATCAAATGTAACTCCAGCAATCAAAATAAACAAACTCAATGTCTTAAAAAAACCACTAAACACATATAAAAGGGAGAAAATATGTTTAATAGACAAAAGTGTGAAAATAAAAAAATTATAAAAAAGTGTGTGCATATAAAAACTATTACAAAAATAAAAATATTGTATGAATATGAAATGGAGTATATATATTTTATTTATATTATAATTTATTTGTTATGAGTAGATAAAGAATGATAAATAGATTGAGTTATAATTTATGTTGAAGATAAATAAAAGTAAAATTGTTTTATTTTTTATTTTGATGGAGAAGGAGAAAGAATTGAAGAAAAGAAAAGTAAATAATGAGAAGCAACGGAAAAAAGAAAAACTATGCTCCTAGGAAGAAAAAAATAGTAAAACAACATAATAGTGGAATTGATACATTATGCGCACTATGTTCCCACGGTATGACTTTTAATCCTAAACACGGAGTATCTATTAATACATATATTTGTACAATCTTTAGGCTTCAAAAAATTAACATTTGAATAATATATTATCGTATATTACAATGAAATATACAAAATTAACTTTATGGAACAAACTAATGTTAATTTTAATTACATGTCAAAGTTTATAAAATTTGACTGAGAATGCCTAACTAGGAATATAACAATTGGAGGGAGGTATGAAGCACGCCAAATCGGTGCGAAATCGAAATTTGATAAAATAAAGTTAGGGGAAACAAAAAGTTATGTAATGGAGTATGTAGAGATTATTTATTTGATTACTGTTAGGTTGAATACCATATTTTCAACTACGCCACTCTTCTTTTAAAAACGTTAAAACTCTAGAACTTATGATGAGAAGCTAGTTTGTTATTTATTAGCTCAGGTTATAAGCTTAATTCAGGATTACCGAATCTGATTACTTCTGTGGAGGTCATATGTTTTAAGTGTGGTTCAAGGCGACATGAATTGTAGTTTGTTTGTTTGTTTCGTGCTATATAAGCCATTTTTTGTCAAAGAAAAAACTACGCCACTCTCCATGAACTATATCTTTGATCCTTGTGGAGACCTAAAGCAATACTACGTATCTTTCGACGGAGCTCCGAATATAATATGGCCGCAAAGCAATTTAAACTTAGACAAAAAATTGATCTAATTAAGATTTAAAACAAGAGGAAATATTATACTCCGTACGAAGTATATTATTCTACTCTAATAATGATCACATTATATATTAAGCTTATGCATAAGGTCTTTGCTACACAGCTACAGTGACCATGGTGTCATTTATAAATTGAACAGTAAATTTTCATACACAATAGACTTCGTACGTACCTCATTAGCTACAGGTGCCATAGAATTCCAAGTAGGGTCGAATAATCGGGTATGACTTGGGTAAGAGTTGATCAACACTCCTTTTGTTGAATTGCTCGTTAGTGGAGGCAAGAATTCTAAGAGCTCTGTCCTAAGATCTGAAATCATATAAACATAAACAAGAAAGATAACTTGATATTCTGAAATTAATCAAGATATTGATGTCATATATATGATGCATATAGGATAAAATTGGGGCCGTTTTTTTGGTATGTTTGAGAGTTTGATTTGGGAGGGAAAGTGAAGATTGATGACCGTTATTTTGCTTGGAAGGATAACAAAATAAATCATTTAAACGCTCAATTTTGAAATTCCTTAATTTTGAGGTTTTCAAAGGATAACAAAATAAATGTTAATTTTAACTTAATTTAAAATGAGTACTACTACATACAAGTTTAACTATTTGAATTCAATAATATATATATAATATCTTAGAAGATTTTAATCATAATTCTTCGTAGCACATCTTTTTTCAAATTAAATACACTCAAACAAAAACAATGGTTTCCTTTACTACTTCCCCTCTCACGGCGAACCTTCTAATCCTTCCCTTCTCTATCCCCTCAAACTCCCAAACATACTCTTAACTAATTTGATTTATATTTAGGGAGATGTATGAGCATGGTATGGTACTGTACTCATGTGGTTCATTGGACATAAGTGAAGGTCATTGCTACGTACGATCCCATAAAAGATGAGGGTACACTACGTCACGTGCTCCGCATTTGATTGATTTAATTTTTTTTTTCCGCCATTTCTTTATATTTAAATTATTCCTTGCAATATTGTAATTGTTTATATAGACAAAAGTATGGTATTTTTTAGAATATCCATAAAAGAAGGGCCTGTTTGGTAGCAGCTGCAACGGCTGGAAAGACCAAAAAGCCTGAAAAGACTGAATCTGCTGAAGTAAAAACGTTTGATGATATATTGACTGGAATGAATGATTATATGTAAAATTACCATTAAAGGTATTTACTTATTTTTGTTAAATATATGGTCACTACAATGAAGCAACTTTATCTTACAATTATTGTCTATTTTAAATGAGATCATAGCAACTTAAATCCAAGCATAATTCCAGTTTCTCTTCTCTTCCATTTTAATGCACATGTATTTTTATAAAAAAAAATAAAAAATAGTAAAAACCCATTAAAAAAGAAAAAAATTATGGATGCCTTTCCCACCGCCTCTCTCCGCCTCCAAGCACCACCAACTCCGATTGGTGAAATTTCTTCCATTTTTGATAAAAAATGCCATCTTTTTTTGAAAATCCCAAAAATATGGCATAATTACTCTTCAATATGCCAACATTTTCATTGAATATGCCATCATTATGGCATTATTTAAAATGTTTGCATATTTTTCTCCGGTGATGGGAGCTGGTGGTGCTGGGGGTGGCAGGGGTGGTATTTTTTTTTGTTTCGATTTTTTTATTTTTATTTTTAATTTTAAAAAAATATTTTTTAATTTTTTTTAAAAATATTTTTATTAATTTTCTATTATTCTTTTACGATTTTTTAGTATTTTTTTCGATTTTTATTATTGTTTTATGATTTATTATTAATTAAAACATTTCACAAGCTACAAGGGTATATTTGTCCAAACACACATAAATAGTCCTATTAAAGGAATTTAAAAAATGTAGTCCTATTTGTGCAATTTTGCCACTTTTTAGTCTTATTTAGGGAATTCACTCATAATATAACCTTAAATGCAGTGAGCATGTTATTATAAAATTGAAAATTAATACTTTTGTAGCACAGTAAAACTAACAGATTAATAATCAATACTGCCTAGTTATAATTAAAAAAAAATAATTAAATAATTAATACCTTGTAGGACTCTCACTTGTCTTGAAGAGCAATTCCTGTGGTTTGCACAATCGGCATACTCAATTGACAACGTATAATTGATCTGAGAGAGAAACCACACATTCGTATCACAATAAATATTACAGTATGGTTATAAAAGATCATATCAGTACATTGTTTCGATACAATTTTAATTAATTTTGTTGACAGAGAAGTTAATAATTGTAACTCTAGAAGGTTCTCGTTAACGATTTAAGTTAATAATTGTAACTCTAGAAGGTTCCCGTTAACGATTTACGATACTTGATTGACGATAAAATAACGTAATCTCTTTTCACACTCTTATTATTTTTAGTAAATAAAATTTACATATTCAGAAACTACATTAAAACCGCTACAAAGCCTGATAAAAAATGTAAATTTGATAAAATTTGATATACAAAGTAAAAGATTAAAAATAATTTAAGTTGATCATGTAAATAGTGGACGAGAACTTTCTAATGGGACGGAGGTAGTATTATCAAATGAAAAATGGAAACCATTTCACGAATATGATTGTTGACCTGCTTGACATTTCCATTCGAGAATTTTTCTGGTCTGCACTGATCTAACTAGTTTAGTTGGATCTAGTCTAGTTAGTAAATGTATGGTCTCCGTATATTTTTATAACTATCAAAGTCCAATCAGGTCCATTTAAGTCTAATATAATAAAACATTGTTAACGTAATATTTGGGGATTATTTTGTAATATTCAATAACACTGTTTTATTATGAATACAAGACTAAGACATCCAAAAGGGTAAGCCGCCATTATTCTCTCAAATTATATTTTCGTATATAATATGATCTGGTATGTGACTGAAATAAGTCCAAGTAAAAGGCATCCTTATTGTTTTCCTTTTTCTTCATCCTTGTTTTTACATTCTTCCCATTTAATATACTCCGTATTTCTATTGGATTAAATTCTCTTTTTAGAAATGAATTTCCGCTAAATATATGTTTATATTTACTTTAGAGCATCTCCAATGCTATAATGTACATGGTGCACATGTGGCATAAGGATAGCCACATAAATATTAGCGAATAAATTATCTCTCTCCTTGTTTGAATGATTTTATACAGTTTTGGTAAGTTTTTCCCTGCAATGTCAACAACAATATCGACATCTAGACGGTCTCCTTGATATTGTGAAGAAAAATTTACCAAAATTGTATAAAATCATTCAAATAAGGAAAGAAATAATTTATTTACTAATATTTATGTGACTATCTCTCATGTCACGTGTGCACCGTGCACATTGTACCATTGGAGATGCTCTTAGAGCGTCTCCAATGCTACAATGTGCACGGTGCCCGCACACGTGACATGAGAGATATAAACACAAAATATTGATTTTATGACATTTCTCTCTCCTTCTTTCTACGGTCTTATGTGTTTTTGGTAAGTTTTCTCTGCAATGTCAACCACAATGTCTACATCTAGACATTGTGCTTGACATTGTGAAGAAAAACTTACCAAAATGATGCAAGATTCTTCAAATAAGGTGAGAGATATTCTATGTCTGTATTGTTTTTTAATTGGTTATTTCTCATGCCACGTATGCACCGTTAACGTTTTAGCATTGAAGATGCTCTTAGTTTGCTTTTAGTTGAATTTTTCTTTCCTTTTTTCCCTTCTTCCTATTCCTCTACTTTCTGTTCCTCTTTTTCTTGCCATATTAGAAATTTTGATCCTTTTGCTTCTTCATTTTTCGCCCAACCTATTTTCTCTAGTATTTTACCAATTAATGACCTATGATTAATTGTTTTAGGGTTATCCCATTTTCTTCTCTTTTCGACTATGACCTCCCTCGTTTTCATTTTGTGTAAATATAGTATAATATACATCCTTTTTTTCGTCCTTCCTTTTCCTCGTTATTTCCCTTGATTTTCCTTCTTCACTAGTTCTTTTTCAGAGTAGCTAATGGATTGATGGACTCACTTAAAAAATGTGGTGATGTAGAAAAGGGGATCGGAGAAATATATAGTTATAGAATTAATGTTAGAGGAAGAAAAAGGGGTAGAAAAAGTAAAAGGACACGCACGTGAAAGTAAAACGAATTAAAACTAAAACAAAAAAATGAGTAGTTTGAGATAAATACATGTAGTATTTTTTTTATAAAAGAAGAACTAATCCAATGAAAAATACATAAAGATAGGATAAACCAGAAGAAGAAATAAAAACAACAAAAATAAGACAAAAAAGGAATAAAGCGTAGAGACGATAGAGCGGAATAAAGGAAAATTGTTTAGGGAGAAAGAAAAAATGATAACTCCGTATTTGAGACAGTTTTGAGAAGATCCGTGAAAAATAGGTGTGGACATGTAAAATTTATTGGGTCTCTTTTGAATTTATTGGGCCAACGTCAGATTCTACTGGACTATTTGTAAATGGTTATTGGGCCTTATCAAGAAGAAAATATTAATATGGATCCATTTATTTTGGGATTAGATTAATTCGGGTTACCAAAATGTCCGGTTAATTTAATTAAATTCTTAAAAGAATGGACCGATCATATTAATTTCTCTATTTTGAGCCTATTATTAAATAATGACCCGACAAGCAAGAGGCATGATCCAATTGATAAAGAGAGCAACAAATCTGGTTAAGAAATCCGTCTGTATGCATGGAAAATGGCTGCGAACCTTGTTAAAAAGGCTGTCCAGATACATCGAACAAATGCTGATTTTTCTAGCTATTAAAATGCAAGCAAATGGAGCCCAAAGCCCATTTTATCATGGCCCATAAGGTATGGACGAATTTCAGCAACCCTAGGTCATATTTTCACCCCCTCCACACCTATAAATAGGGGTCTCAGTTGAGAGAAAGGGGAGGAGAGCTTCCAGACGAAGAAACGCTGCAGCAAAGCTCTGAAGAACTCCCGAAAGGCTCTGAAGGATTCCAAAGAAGAGGAAGAGATCAAGCCACGTTTTTGTCAAGAATATATGAATAATCCTCTGTGATTTCATCGATTCTTGATCAAACAAAGCCAAAAGTTGAAGAACGTTCGAAGATCTGAAGAACGAAGCTTGAAGATTCAAAGATCTGAAGAACGAAGCTTTGAAGATTCGAAGATATGAAGAACGAATCTTTGAAGATTTGAAGATATTCATATGAAGATTGAATCAATATTCAATTGAAGATCAAGCCATATATCCCGGGAAGCCCTTTAACAGAAGATCAAGCCACATAACGGCCCTTTTGTTGAAGATCAAGCTACTTGAAACCGGAGGCCCTTCAATATTGTATTTTGCATTCAAGAAGATTTGAAGATCTGAAGAACAAAGTTTGAAGATTCGAAGATCTCAAGAACGAAGATTCGAAAAATCGAAGAACGTTCGAGTTTTGAAGAATTAGAGATTTAATTTTAAATTAAATTCTTTAATTATATTCATATCAAATTTCAAGTGAAGAATCAGAGGATTCATATTTAGAGATTGTACCCGATATTCTCACATATTATTATTTGCGATCAATTTTAAGTAAATACTTAAAATTTGTTTGGATTTATGGTTTAATAGTTTGAAAAGAAAAGTAAGAAAACCATAATACATGTCATTAATTGGTTGAGGACCGACGAAACAAGATGGGGAACAAAGGTCAATCAAATTATTTTCTATTTTTATGAGAAAAGTGTCAAAAGTGGGTTAATTACTTTCCATTTTACCTTATTCTTATCAACATCATTGTTGAATTCCACACCAAAAAACGTGTGAAGGAATTAAGTGCTATAGTAAGATCTGAACTACTTCTCCTATCATGTTGACCTTTTACTCTTTAGGATGAAACCTCGGATCTTAACATTGTATCAGAGCCAAACCGATTAATGGTGTGGGCCCCTTATGAAATATGACGGCGTGGTTATGAAAAAATGACAATGATGAATCGATGAAAAAATGAATGACGACACGATCCATACGAAGTTTCTGGCTGTGAGAAGGGGTGTTGAATATTCCCACCCTGTGTGAAGGAATTAAGTGCTATATTAAGGTTTGGATTACTCCTCCTATCAGTTTGACCTTTGAGGATGGAACCTCGGATTTAACAATCATCATAACTATTACTACCCCCATTCTTAAATAAGTGCAACAGCCAAGATTTCACATTTGGCGAGACACAACTTTGACCATTAATATATATAACTCACTATTAGTAGAAAAAATTAAAAAAGTAAGTTTTTGAAAATTTACAATGAGACAAATTTTTTAATATTTTTTTCAAAGATATATATTAATACATCAATAATTTTTGAAAATTTATAATGAGACAAATTTAGTAATATTTTTTTCAAAAATATATATTAATACATCAATAAATAAATGTAGTCAAAGTAGAACATGTGAATAGTGTAAAATTTGCAATGTTGCACTTATTTAAGAACGGAGGTAGTATTATCTTAGTAATTTAATGTCATTTTTGTACTTTTAGAGTCATTATAACACATAAATAAATAAACAATTAAAAATTAAATAAATAAGAAAGACGAACCTGAACCAGATCAAATGCAGAGTTTAGAAAAAATATAGGGGTATAGATGCCATCTTTCAAATTTGGTGGAAAGAAACACTGCATTAATTTAACAAACATTACTTTCTTTTTCTGATATATATATATATATATATATATATATATATATATATATATATATATATATAGGAAAAAGATCCTGTCCAGCCGGAGGGACAAGATCCTCCGTCCGACCGCCGCCGTTTGGGGCGGTTCCCGGTGGAGTTTTTTGATGAAATTTTTATAGAATGTTCCTCATCAAGTCTAGTTTATCCACAAAAAATTTCAGCTAAATATTCAATCGGGAAGGCAGTCAAATACTTTTTTGAAACATAACTGCGTTTATATGTTAAATTTGGAGCAGTTATGTTCAAAAAATTATTTGACTGCCTTCCCGATCGAATTTTTAGCTGAAATGTTTTGTGGATAAACTAGACTTGATGAGGAACATTCCATAAAAATTTCATCAAAAAATCCACCGGGAACCGCCCCAAACGGCGGCGGCCGGACGGAAGATCCTGTCCCTCCGGCTGGACAGGATCATTCCTATATATATATATATATATATATATATATATATATATATATATATATATATATATAATCGAGATCAAATACAAACCCTTCTTAATTTACAAAGTACAAACTCATCTTGACCGTCCGATGAGTTGATCCAAAGGACATAAAGGTAAGGTGGCATTTTTGTAATAAAACCCAACTTTTTAAGGATGCAACTCGTTGCACGTTAATGTGCAACTGCTATTTTATAACTGAATAATATGCACTACTTTGAACCTCAATATGCAATACAAAGGACGTCAAGGTGCATCGTACAAATGTTTGCACAATAAGCACACTTTGTACTTGATCTTTCCCATATATAAATATATATAAATATATAAATATATATATATATATATATATATATATATATATATATATATATATATATATATATATATATATATATATATATATATATATATATATATATATATATATATATAATGTGAGAACCATGCTTAACGTGAGAACGTGAGAACTCCACTTTTAAGCAGATGTGATGCACTATATCATGTATATGTTGCACATTTTTATGTTGACAAAATATTTAGAAATCTGCCATCACATTTATTTGATATTAGCACGTTTTGATCAAAATTTAAAAAGTGTAATAGATGAGGCTCATAGTATACCAAGATGTGTTAAAAGTGCATGGTTCTCACGTTCTCAAGTTAAGCATGGTTCTCATTGGATATGTATATATATATACACACACATATATATATGTATATATGTATATATATATATATATAGAGAGAGAAAACTTCATGTCAGGCCGGTCTGACGGGCTGCCCCGTCCGGCCGAGCCCGTTTGGGCACCTTCCCGGTGGAATTTTTTGATGAAATTTTTTGAGCATGTTCCTCATCAAGTCTAGTTTGTCCATACCAAATTTCAGCTCGAAATTTGATCGGGAAGGTCGTCAAATGATTTTTGCAAGTTAACTGGTCCGGAAAATACATATTCCGGACCAGTTAACTTGCAAAAATCATTTGACGACCTTCCCAATCGCATTTTGAGCTGAAATTTGGTATGGACAAACTAGACTTGATGAGGAACATGCTCAAAAAATTTCATCAAAAAATTCCACCGGGAAGGTGCCCAAACGGGCTCGGACGGACGGGGCAGCCCGTCAGGCCGGCCTGATGAGAAGAGCTCTCTCTCTCTCTCTCTCTCTCTCTCTCTCTCTATATATATATATATATATATATATATATATATTATAGGGAATGGTTCAAGTAAAAAGTAGTCTTCCTATGAAAAGTGGGAACAAATCTTAGCCTTTAATCACTTGTAAATGAATGGATTAGATTAACTTTAATCACAAGACACAGAATCAAATAATGTGCAAATGTTTATTGTACAAAGTGGATATTAAGCGACTAAAAGTGCACTCTTGAGTGTTAAAAAAGATTGCCAATTTTTTTTAGCTTGTGCACATTTTGTGACGTACCGTTATGCACTTTTGTGCTCTACATGTACACTTTTTGCATATTCTTATACACTTTTTGTATAACATTTTAATTAAAATTTTTATATAATTAACAAAACGCCACCGCATTTTTCACTTAAAATTTGATCTCTTCCATTCATTTTTTCAAACCAATGATCAAGATCAGTTCTTACTTTTCACCCAGGAAGCACTTTTTATTTGATTCATACTCTCTCTATATATGTGTGTGTGTGTGTGTGTATATATATATATATATATATATATATATATATAGTACCGATCGATCCGACCTCCTTTCAGGAGCGGAGCTAGGGGAGGGCCAATCCTGGCCCTGACCCAGCCAAAATTTTAAAAGTGTCTAAATTTTAAGTGTAAAAAATTCTGTGTAATTTGTTTCCAAAAATATTCTTTGTATCGGCCCAGTCTGGCCCAGTGTCCTGGCTCCACCCCTGCCTCCTGTTCGACAAAGCCTATTAATTCAGGGATTAAACATAATCTTATTTGATTAATTATTTGTTTATTTTACCAATGCCGCAGTGAGTTTGGAAGTGCAGGATTTGGGCAAAGCGTCAGTGGATCCCTGTCCAACGAGAATACTTGAATTAGAAAAACCTAGTTATGCAATAACTTTCAATTTTTCACAATCCAATGACAAAATCTGAATTTGCAGGGTAAATGGTACTCCGTATAAAATAATGAAATCGAGTCTAAGACCAGAGATGAATACATGCAAATTAATCAACCCTTTAAAGAATGATAGAAATTGGTTTCCTTTGATGTGATGATTCCTGTAAATAAAAAATAAAAAAAGAACAACAGTTGTATTAGAATCTGTTTAATTAGTACTCCCTACATAGTATATTTTGTTGATAAGATAAGATTATAAACTTTCTTGTAATGGCGTATGCAGGAGTTTAATTAGGTTAGCGGGACGACTTTAACTAAAATTTTATGGCTTGATATGACTTTTCTTTTTTACCACGGGTGGTTTTTTTTTTGTTTTTTATGAAAGACACAATTTTTTTTTTTTTATATCAGTTTTATTAAAATTCCTTTTAGTCCAAGAAGCTACAGGGTTATACCTTTACAAGCATACACATTTAATCCCACTAGCAAATTAAAAACAATGTAGGTTATGTAGTCCTATTTGTGATTTTTGTGTATTACTTCGATCCGTATGTATATGCACAGTGCAATAGATAATGATTATTGTGCATCAAATTGAAAATTTGGGCGACTTATATTAATTCTCATTTTACACGTTACGATTCCTTTTTATTTGAACAAAACTATGTATGTATGTATGTATGTATGTATGTATGTATATTGTAGGGTGGATTGAAGTTTTAGTACTATAACTTCAAGTTGTGTCCATTATTGGTCCTATATTTTACGCGATTGCAGATTTGGTCATGTAGCTAATAATTTTTTATAATTTAAGGATTTTTCCACCGTAAAGTAAACTCTCCGGTAGAAAATTTTACATCAGTGACAACTTTTCAGCAAACTTACGACTGGAAAGTGCATTTTGCTATGAAAAAGTTCTTAGGTTACCACTGAGTAAAGTTATAGAATCAATAACGGGCACAATAAAAAGTTAGAGGACTAAAATTGCAACTTTCAATTCCCTACATAGTATGTGTGTGAGATATGATCCATGTGTGATAAAAATTACTTACGAAAGGAAAAAATATCCTCCATCTGAGAAGCACTTCACCCGAAAAGCAGAGGGGAGAAAGCCACGAAATCTATCACAGTAGATGGCAGTAGCAACTCCTCCGGCTGAACTACCAAGTAAAAGAGCCTAGCATATTAAATTACAAGTTTAAAATCATTATAAAATTCTTTGAAGAGGAATACGTTCATTATAATATTAATTAATTTAACTAATGAAATTGCTCCGATGGGAGTAAACATAGAAAAGTATAAAAATAGCCAAATAGGAGTACCGAGTACTTGTTCCTATTTACGTATAAAAAAGAGCTTGGAATATCACAAGTTTAAATAATGAAATTGCTCCTATTTACGTATTATTATTATTACTGTATTAGTGTGACGATTCGCTACTTAAAGCCTTAAAGCTATGCATTACATACATAAACACCCCATGCAAATAATATACGTAGTATATTCTTATGTACATATGCAATAAGTCAAATGTTTTTCAGTGACCATTTTTAGTTGATATGCTACACGCCTACACATAAATATTCTGTTACAGCATAATTAAATGAATTGTTCCTTTCAATCAAAGTCATTTTATGAATTTAATTTCCTTTTCATTTTAACTAAATAAGTCAAACATTAATTACAGTAGAGAATTCAGCCAATCCAAAATAATAGACGAGTATAGAAAGTTTAAAAATTAAGTGAGATTGAAATTTACAACATCTATTATATTCGGCAGATGCAACTGGAACTTTTATGCGAATTGAACTACGCTGGTGGCGGCAGATCGGACGGCGGGAGTGGCTAGTGGCAGCTCCGATTGGGATATCCTTGTTCAAACCGGAAACAATACTTCTATTTTGGGAATTTTAAAAATTTACCAAAAGACGGGAAAAGTTGGATAGGGTTGCCAAAACACGGGGATTTTTTGAGGGTTTACGAAAAAAAGGGAGTCGGAACTGCTTGTTCCCACTAGCGGCATGGTTCTTGAAAAACAAAAAATCCCCTCCTGTCGGAAGTGGCTAATCCGACAAGGAGGAGTTTATATTTTTTTTTTGGCCGAATTCTTAGTTCTTAACTCTTTGATTTTCAAATTTTTAAAAGTCGGTTATAAAAAAAAATTAAAACTAAAGTTTTAAATTAATTTTATCAATTCCAAATTTAAAAGTTTTTTTAAATTCCTGTCATATTTTTTAAAATGAAAATAATGCATTTTGATTTTTTGAGTAACAAAACATTTGATTGCTTTATATTATTTTTTAATCCATTTGTGTTGTGAATTTTGTTTTAAATGCAATTTTTGTAATTTTAAGTGCAATTTTTGTAATTTTAATGGAAGTGAACAAAACAACGAATAGACACTAATTTATTAATGAATAGATAGTACATACGATATTAAATTTAATACTACATCTAACGTTGCGTGCTCGGCCCTGCTCCGTCCCCGCCACCAGTGTTCCAAGTCCTCGTTGTGTCTCCATAATAAAATGACGAAATCAGAATTGACTCAACATAATCACCTGCCTGTGTGGAGTACTGATAAGAATCATAATACGGCGGCGGTTGATCAAATGATACACCTCATTTCCTCCACAATAAAAGACCAATTCCTATATACTTCTAAGCTCAGTTTAGACAAGTTATTTCTTTATAATTTCTTCATGTTTAGTCTCTAAATGAGGAGCTAAACTCTTACATCTTGGTTTTGCTACTTTGAAGCTTAATGAATTGTAAGTTGTGAGTTGTTTTCTTTAATCTTTTTCCTTGAATATTAATTAATTCATATTCTTATTTCATATTAATATTTTGAGCATTACTTAAAGGATCAACTAGTTTTGTTTCATATATTAATTAATACTAGAATCGGTCGATTAATACGCTTGTTATTAATTCAGTCCTTTCACGGTAGTAAACTTGGATTATTAATGCATGCGTCTCATGGTTAATAATCTAAGGGGAATTAATTATATTGATTAAACCAATAAACCGCTTGTGTTAAGGTACTCAATCTCAATCGTTTTCATCTTGATTTTATTGCTACTACCGAGTGAATATACGGCGTGTGTTCTATATTGGCTCGGTAGTAAGTTTTATTAATGAACGTGTCTCGTTATTAATAAATACCCTCGATGAATTGGATATATTCCTCGATTGAGTATTCGAGAGGAAGATAGTTAAAGATACAACCGGGATCGAAGAACATTTCATTAAGTGGATAAAAGCAAAACCAAGTCCCCTCATCATTAATTAGACCACATAAGTCGTTCATTTTCGTGCTGATCAAATGAGACACCTTGACGTGTTGAGAGTTGAGGGGGCGATTGTGATTGTTCACCCCCCATCTTCATGTTCATCTGCATCTTCACGTTTAAAAATTTCAAAATAGAACTGCCATATTTGTATGCTCAAAATAGGAATAATTATTGTCAAGGTCAAAAAATATTGACATGTTTAAAGTCTGGTACATTCAAAACATAGTAATAACTAGTCATATTTGGGAATAAAAATAAGACAATCCTAATTTGAAATATAAATTTGATTTTTTTAAAATGCAATATATGTAATTTAATGGAAGTGAACATGCCAAATGTAGTTTTTTAATGTAATTCCATAAATAAATTTGTACATACAATAATAAATTTAATTCTACATCTAACGTTGCGTGCTCGGCCCTGGCATGTCCTCGCCATGTCGGGGTGTAGCCTGTCGCCGGCACAACGTGAGAAGGGTTCCCGACACATGACATCCTTTGTTTTTCGTAATACAGCGTGTATCCACTATTATGTTGGTCCGCCCACCTTGTCAAGACAGATGTTGATACGACGGAACGACTAGTATGATGATCATTACCCTGCTCAATTTATGTGATTAGATTTATCTGATTAAAATTTATCTGATTAAACTTTACTCGGGTATTTGATTAGATTTATCTTATTAAAATTTATCTGATTAAACTTATCTCTTTTAATTTATCTATTTCATTTTATCTGATTAAATTTATCTGATTAAGATTGATTTGATTAAAATTATCTGATTAGATTCATCTGATTAAGATTTATAAGATTAAAATTTATCTGATTAAATTTATCTGAACAAATTTATCTGATTAGATTAATCTGATTAAAATTGAACACGTACATAAATATTATACTTGGAACCAAATATTTGGCTTTTATTGTTCGATCAATAATTTGTAGAAAAAGAAAACGATCTACCTAGTTTGATCTTTTTTTTTAAAGGCCGGATCTACCAATTCTGAAAGGAGGGAAAAGAAATTGAGCAAATCTTCCTAGTCGGATTTACCAATTCCGACAGGAGGTGTGCAATGAAAATATAACTCTGGTTGGAACACGGAATTCCGACTTACGTTTTTGGGTAACCTAAACGTAAGTCCCGTGTTTTGGCATGTCAGATTCGAAACTCCCGTTTTTTGGTAATTCTACTACGTACATAGTACGGATTTCCGGCCTCATTATTTATTATTGTAGTACTCATGTTGTTGAAGGTACAAGGTCTATAATAATCTCTCCTCCGTCCTCAACATATATACGAGTACTATTTTTCGTTAATAACTTTTCAATTTCTAAATAAAAAGAGTGAGATCACTTTTGATGCGAGTTCTTAAAAAAGGTAGGAAAATTTGCAATTTTCATCCCGTAATTTTTGGTCGTTTTCACTATTAGTCCCGTACCACTAGTTACTTACAAATTTGGTCCTGTAACTAATTAATTAATATTTACGATTTAATGACTATTCTCCTGAAAAGTACACTTTCCTACGATAATATACCGGAGAAGATGTAGCCGGCGTCGGATTTTTCTGCTGGAAATTGTACTTTCCGGTGAAGAAGTCCTTAATTAAGTTGCAAAGATTTATTAGTTACAAGATCAAATTTGCAAGTGATTAAAGTTACCAGACCAATAACGATAACTACCGAAACTTACAGGACTAAAATTGAAAACCAAAGGTGTGATATTTTTCAAAGAACCGAATATTAAACATAAAGAAGCTTATACTCTTAAAGAAGGTAAATTAGACGTTCATTAACTAATTAAATTCAAGTGGTTTTAAATTTTTATCATACCTGCTTAGCTTGTTTTGTTTGTAAATTTTGAAAAAATTAAACAGAAATGCGTACATTCTCTGCCCTGTCCATTCCTTTGCCTAGCAGTTCTTGTATCACTGCATTGAAAATCCTGGCTCCCCTAAAGTAATAGGTTGTGCCCTGCAAAAAGTGAATGAGTATGTAATAACCTAAGCTACAGATAGGACAAAAACACATTTGCATGGTACTTCTAGAACATCATTAAAAGTAATTATACTAGATAATTTTAATGAATGAAATAAAATACGTAGTAAAAAAATTGAGCGTACGTTTTTTGTTTTCTGAGAGTTTCCTGTGAACGATGAGCCGTCACAATACCTAACCCAGACTTTGTTCCAGTTGTAAAATTCTAAAACATTTCAAAGATTAAACATGTTAGCACCATCACAGAACAAATACGTAGTATAAAATGCTGAGAATTAGAAATATACTAACACATACACGTAAATATAAATACAGGTTATGATGAGTGTGGGGCATGCACCATCCATGCATGCATACAAACAAACATACATACATGTATTTATGTATGCATGTATGAGTGCATGTATGTAACAACCTAAGCTACAAAGTGAATAAATAGGATAACAATATTGAAGCATAATATTACCATAATATTAACATATGTTTATCACGTGTAATTATCATGTACGCAGGGTTAAGTTTTATCCCTTAGTTTATGCTAGTTAGTTAGTCTAGCTTATCACCTCAATTGTAACTTATATATTGATGTACGTACATCATGCTGAAGGCATCAATACATACTATACTTCTCATAATACTTCTTTATGATATCAAGAGCCTTTCTCTAACGAGCTCAGTTATTTTTTCCTGATCCATTCATGTCGATCATCACCCCTACCACCAGAGTCGTTTCCCTCACAGCTTCAACCCACTTCACTATAAAATTAACTACCTCAAATTATCCCGTATGGAAGTGTCTGGTTCACTCGGCCCTCATTGGCCTTGGTCTCGACAGCTATGTCGATGGCTCAACTGCAGCGCCAGACAAAACTAAATGTGCATGCATGCATACATACATGTATTAATGTACTTCCTCTGTTCTTTTTTAGTTACAACATTCCGTTTTTCACGTTTGTTAACACACAACTTTGACCATTATTATATTAAATTCTAGAGGTATTTACCCAAATGGGAATAAATGCATCTTTAATTGCTAAAATAGGACTCAAGATAAAAAAAAACTCCCTGAATAGGAGTTATTATATGTAACAAGCCAAAAACACCCTTGAAGTTGGGAAATCACTGCTGCCGACCAGAGTGCCGGGCCTCCTCCAGGCACCGGTATCCGCCGGTCACCGCCAGTCGCTGCCACCAAGTCAAAACCGGTCTCTGCTACAGATCTGACTGTCGCCGTTGCCGTAGATATGGTATTTTCCGCCGCAGATCTGGCGGCGTCGCTATTCCGCCGGCCTCCAACCACTGTTTTTTGTAGATCCGACCACTTTTGTAGCAAATCCGGCATCTGCCACTGAAATCTGGCCTGTATCGTTGCAGATCTGGTCGTTGCCTACACGAATGCCAAAGTTTTTATAAAAATGCCAACGTGAATCTAAAATGCCATTTTAATGGCATTTTCAAAGAAAAATATAAAAATTTGTAGAATAAGAATGCCATTTTGATGGCATTTTCAGATTTGAACTTGGCATTTTTTACCAATAATGAAGAAATGGAGCACATGCAACGAAATAGAAGAGGGAGGAGAGGACTAGAGAAGAGGGGAGGAAGGACAAGGAGAACAATCAAAAGAAGAGAACCTTACCTTCGACGAGAAGGTCTCCGACGTCGACGGCGGCACTTCGCGGCAGCGGCGGCGGACTTTGACTGGGCAGAGGAGGCGGACTTCGCGTCAACGGCGGCGGTCTTTGAAGGTTTGACCCTTCATGTGCGAAGGGAAAGAACAAGAAGTTGGGTAGGGGAAGGAGACCAGCAGGGGGGAGAGGAGAAGAAAGAATCGGCTGGGGAGGGAAGAAATATGATGCGTAGGTGTAGGGAAAGAAAATAGGGACAGATGGGTAATTAAGTCCTATTTAGGGCAAAAAAATAAGCATACTCCTATTTAGGAATTTCAGGAATAGTTTAGTCCCATTTAGGGCAAAAAAACCTAAATTCTATATTTGTAAAAAATAACTAAAAATGAGATTATATGAAACTTAGTTATGAGGCGAATTCAAAAATATTTTTCAAATAAAATAATTCACACACAATAATAAATAAAATGTAGTCAAAGTATAGTATATGAATAGTGTATCAATTCCAATGTTGCAACTAATGCAATACGGAGGATAGTACTACGTTCGTACACACATGCATAAATATAACTTGAACAATCAATTAAGTATTTGAATTGGGTGTCAAAAGTTTTAAGAAATTATTAGCTTAGAACTTATAGAAGTTATAGTTAAATTCTCTTAGAATTTATAGAAATTCCCTTGAAATATATAAACATGAGTGAATAACTTTTGTGTATATAAATAGTTACTATAAAAATTATACTAACGAGATATTATTGTGAGTTTGTGACTAGTTGATCTACACTAAATTGGAGTCACACCTGGGTTTTTGTCGCTGTTGTTGCTGAATATTGTATCATCGCGAAAAGCAATTGGAACGGCATCGTTATCAAGACCTTTCCTATGAATATAAGTTCTGCAATCACTGATATTTTTGCACCATCCTCCTCCCTAATATACATTAATTTAAATTGGTTAAAAATAATAATAGTTCCGCTGAATTATACGGAGTGTAATTTTCAAATCTTCGTGACGAAGATTAATATTTCAACACTATTTGTAGTGAATGAACCATTTATTGAATTGTTTCACCATTTTTTAGTTATTAAAATGGTTGAAGAACTTAAATATACTACCTCCGTCCCGAAAAGGTTCGTCATATTGACTTTTGTTGGTCAATGATGACGAACTTTGGACAATGATTTTAAGTATTATATTTGTATATAATTTATAAATTTTATACTTTTATAAAAATATTTTGAATAAGGAACATTTTGATATAACTTTCAAATTCTAAATAATTTCGTATTAAAAGTTATAAATGGTCAAACTTGATTGCCATTGATCAAGAAAAGTCAATTTGACGAACCTTTTTGGTACGGAGTGGGGGAGTATTATATAGACAAAGTATTTGATAGTTGACTGACTTGGCGAATTGGTCATTAGATACATACTATAGGGTGCGGTTCCAGTAAGAACAGATCTTAGGAGAATAAATGAGAATGAATCTGGACCGTTGGATTGTATTATGTGGAACCAAATTGTGCATTTGGTGAAACTGAAATGTGCATTAAATGATATTGAAATGTGCAAATTAAAATAAAAATTTAAACTCAAGTGTGCATTAGATGAAACTGATATGTGCGAAAAAAAGTACAAAAATAACATCACATCGTACTTTTTATTCTGCACATTTCAGCCTCACCTAGTGCACATTTCAATTTCACGTAATGCACAATTCAACTGCACATAATGTCGTGATGCACATTTCAATTTCACCTAATGCACATTACAGTTTCATCTAATGCACATTAAATTTCACTTGAAGCAAATCTAACGGTCCAGATTCGTTCTCATTTCTCTCATAAGATTGTGTTCTTATTTGAACCAAAATATATAATACGGAGTACGTGTTAAATCAAACGAAATTTTGAGAAAAAAGAATGGTGTCATTTTCCTATTAAAATTTTATTTTCTGTGCTAGTGAAAACTTCCACGTGGACATCTAACAGGAGCAGTTGAAGTGAGTACTAATTTTTTAATAGATTTTTGATTAATTATTAATAACCGGTTATAAATGATCCCGTGGACAACCCAGTCACGTCCAAATATTTTAAATACGCACTAGCTCCGCAAATAAATGAATAATAGGTTTTGTGTGGCTGCATGTAAGAAGTAATTAGTGGACCAGTGAAATCTAGGGCGGTTAACGAACCGAGCTTTTATCGAACTATTTGAGTTCGAGCTCAGTTTCGAACCTAACGAGTCGAGCTTAACGAGCTTTCGAACTCGAACCCGAGCTGAGTTTTAAGTTCGAAATATTAATCGAGCCGAGCTCGAACATAGTAGTATTAGGCTCAGTTCGAACTCGAGCCTATCGAACAAATTATAAATATGATATATATATATATATTAAAAATTTAAATATAATTAGTATGATTTTTTGCATTTAAATGTGTTTATCAACGAACCGAATACTTGTCGAATAATTCGAGCACGAGTCTATTAACGAGCATCACCTAGAATTTTAAAATCGACCATATTTATCGAGCTTAACGAGCGCTCGGTTCGAACATCGAACGCCTATTGAGCCGAACACGAGCCTCATTTGTAAAGCTCGCCGAGCTTCGAGTTCGAACCCGAACACCATTAATTCCTTATCGAGCCGAACTCGAGCTTTAGGTGTTCGGGCTCGGCTTGGCTCGTTAACACCCCTAGTGAAATCTACACTAGGAAATAAATTAGTGTTAATAATGTACGGAATATATATTATTAGCAAGTATAATCGTGTAGTTAATAACTAAGAAGTAATAATAATGTTTTCTTTTGGACTGTTTTCAGTCCCAGACCAGACCAGACCATACTTAAACAGACCAGACCAGACTTAAACAGACCAGACCAGACCAGACCAGACTTAAACAGACCAGACCAGACCAGACCAGACTTCCGTAGTTATAAAATACACAGAGACCAGACGTTTACCAGACCAGACCAGATCAGTTCAGACCAGACCAGACCAGACTTAAACAGACCAGACCAGACCAGATTTAAACAGACCAGACCAGACCAGACCAGCAAATTTCAGTCCAAAAGAAAACATATCCTTACATTGTGAAATAGAAGCCAATTTCTCAGTCCATCGCCATATCCTGGAAGGAAGTAGTACGAGGCTGGTTTCCCACTCAAACACACTACACAAGAAAAATCATTTTTATGGTTAGTATATATAACATGGTTAAACTTCACAATTTGATATCAACTTATCTATTAAGCATCTTTAATAATTGTCGTTTTTTACATAACTATTTATTGTAACTATTTCGTTTTAAATAGTACTCCCTCCGTCCCATAATTATCTTCATTCTTTCCTTTTTGGTCCGTCCCAAATTTATCTCCTCTTTCCCTTTTTAGCAAAGGATTTGTGGTTCACAACCATTCTTACACATTTCTCTTTCCTCTGCACAACTCTCCACCACACATTTTCCACTTTCTTAATCTCCGTGCCCAGTCAAAACCGAAGTTAATTCTGGGACGGAGGGAGTAAAAATTAGGCTGCCTCCCTATATTTGTAGTGGTTAAGTTCCGGGTTCCTTTTAAAATTAAAATAAAGCATATTAAGAAGTTGTAAAAATGAAAATAACAAATGGTATAATGTTAAATTAATAAAGTACGTACTCCGTATTATACTAAAATCTTGGGCTAATTTTTAGAATAAAACCGCAGAGTCCTAAGTCCTAACATGAAGGATGTTTTCTTTTGGACTGTTTCAGTCCCAGACCAGACTAGACCAGATCAGACCAGACCAGACCAGACCAGACCAGAGTTGACTTTCGTAGTTATAAAATACACAGAGACCAGACGTTTACCAGACCAGACCAGATCAGACCAGACCAGCAAATTTCAGTCCAAAAGAAAACATCTGAAGACTACTTAGCATGTTTTCTTTTGGACTATTTTCAGTCCCAGACCAGACCAGACCAAACTATAACTGACCAGATCAGACCCGATCAGACCAGACCAGACTTGACTTCCGTAGTTATAAAATGCACAGAGACAAGACATTTACCAGACCAGACCAGTTTAGACCAGACCAGACCAGTTCAGACCAGACCAGCAAATTTCAGTCCAAAAGAAAACATCCTTAATTGTGTTTTGACAAATATAATGCACCTCGTGTTCTAAAATAATTGTCAATTAAGGCAATTATTTTATGGCAGTAAGTTAGCTGTTTAAGAAATTTTATGTGCGGGTTATACTCAATTAATTGTCAATGTCGCAAATTTGTTCAATGTAATTCATAAAAAATTAAAAAGGTTGCATGTGGTTTATAAAATTTAATTAAAAGCTAGCATTTAATGTTTCAATTGTATAAAAATATGGGTACATTTATAAAACATCAAATACGGTGTACTCCGTAATATTTATGGAGAGCGACTACTAGACTGGGTTAATTAATTTCGATTTAAGAGATCAAAATGTGAAAATAGGAGTGGATAGACACGAGTATATATATAAAACAAGCTTGGTAATGAAGAAATAAAGATGAATTACTAACTAACCTGCCCCGTCATCAATGGTAACAAAGGTTGGATACACAAGAGTGTCGTTGCCTGAAACTAAAAAACACAGCAAAATTATATGCTGGGCCGCATTATTCATGCCTGACAACTACCACCACCGCATCAGAAGTGCTGGCGGAGCCGCCAGAGGTGGAGGCGGAGATGCGGAGGTAATTGATACTTGACCGCCACCACTATATTGCAATAATTACAAAATTACGACATTTTCAGAATTGGTGGAACGTAACAATTACCTACCTTCCGCTTTGCGTCCTCCTTCTGCAAGGGAGGCATTGACAGAGAAAGAGAGTGGAAGTAGAAGGGCAAAGAGGATTAGGAACAGCTGGTCGAGTCTGCTTGCAATTGTCGCCATTTTTCTTGTAACTTGCTTGCTGGTGAGATAAGCTAGCTAGCTTGTGAGAGAGAAAGATTGATTTAATTTGTGAGCGTGGATAAGGAAGGAAAACGACGAAGAGTATTTATGGACACACGAAGCCTTTTTTTTGTGACGCAGAGGACACAGAAGGCAACTTCATATTTATAAAAGGTGCTCCTATTAATGAGGAAGAAATGATGACCGCAGCTTTATTAAAAGTAGAGTTCTCTTCGTCCTGTCGGAATGATTCTCATGTGAAT